TCCCAATTTGGAATGGATAAGAATAGCTTTTTAGAATATCACCAAATTAAATCTGTAGTCAAACAAAAATTCAAGCTCAATAAAATAGAATTACAAACACCACCAAGGGTATTAGACTTTTATAATCTCAAACCCCCCAAACTACTGTCTAAAGTATATAAGACACTGTCCAAAATAGACGATAAAATTGCAATCCCTATTGAAAAATGGGAGGTGGATCTATCAGTTAGCTTTGACCAGGACTTTTGGTCCCAAACTTGTTTAAAAACTTTTAAAATGATCAGACACCCCAATTTACAATTAATTCAGTACAAAATTCTACACAGAGTACACTATACAGGTCATCGGATGTTCAAGATGGGGTTTGTGTCGTCTGACACCTGTACACACTGCACAAACAACATTCCTGACAATTACATTCATGCACTGTGGTCCTGCCCACCTGTCCAGGAATTTTGGGGTAGAGTATGTGAGAATCTGTCAAAATGTCTGAAATGTCATATCCCAACTTCCCCCTCTCTTTGTTTACTGGGTAAGCTGGACGATGTCCCGATTGCAACATCTTTGGTTCACGTGGTTCTGACTGCCATATGCATCGCTAAGAAAACTATCCTCTTGAATTGGAAAAATAGAGAAAGTCTCTGCATTAACCAGTATAGAAATCTTTTGTTAGATCATATTGCACTTGATATAGCCTCTGCCTCCACTTCAGATGAATCTCTCTGGGCTCCTTTGATCGGTTCCATCACATAGCGAGGGTGGGGGGCCATTGATGTTGTCCTGCGGGATGGTGTGGGTGTGGGGGTGTGGGGTCTGAGTTTGGAGTATCCGGATGTTCCCTGGAGGTGGGTTCACTGGGGGTGTCTGGGACTGGGGGGCCGTTGCCCCCCTCTGGAGGTGCTTGGGTTGCCTCGGGGGGTGGACTACTGGCGGTTGTGAGTGGGGCCTCTTGGGGATCTTGGCGGCGGCCATGGGCCACTGCCTGGCGGCTGCAATGCCCCTGGGCGGGTCTGGGTGGGGGCCTGGGGGCTCGGGGTTTGGGGGTGGCCGGCCCCGTGTGGGGATCTGGGCGGGGCCTTGGGGGTCGGGTCCTGACATGTATGCTGCCGGGAAGAAGGCAGGGACACCCAGCAGTGCCTGGCCCGGGTTCGGGGGCCTCAGGTAGACCTTGGCTCCTCTGCCGTTTCATCACAGGGGAGGGGGAGGTCCAGGAGGGGGAGGACCCAACCTTACCTGGATGTCCCATGTCTTATATATTCTGGAAGTTGTGCAAATGCAGGGGTGGGCATAGATATTCTGCTGGGGTGGGGCTGGGTTGGTGCCCTCGGACTCCGTGAGGCCCTGTAATACTGCTGATTTGGGCCCTGGCAGGATGGGCTGGGGTCTCCATGCCCTGGGTGGCAGTTGGACAACAGAGGTGCCTATTGGGGCCAGTAGGGGAGCTGGCTCCCTGGAGGGCTAAGCCCAACCAGCCATTCCTCCCCATCCCCACATATTTCTCTCCTCCTGCTCCCTCACATCATCACACAAACATACACATAGGACCTTGGGGGGGGTGCAAGTCAGGGAGTGCGGGTATGGACCCCATTTCCACATTCCTGTGGAAACCTGCCCCCCAATTTTATTTGCACCTTATACACTTCCACTGACGACCACAGCCATGGAATACACCTCATGATCACACAACACTATATTGGAGCAGGCGGAGGGAGACTAGGGGTCTTAGCCACCTCTGTTGTTGCTGGGCTTCCTGGGGCTGGAGGCTAGGAGGGAGATCTGGCCGTCTGGTTGGGGTCTGGGGTGGTGGGTTGCTGTGCTCAGCGTTGGGCGGGGGAGCCTGCTCATCAGCACCCCAGCAGAAAGGGTCAAACTCTGGTTACCGGTGATGGTTGTACCCAATGTGCAGCAGTACCGGGACCAGAGTGAATAGGGTGTGTATGGGGAGCATGAGTGGGTGTCCGGCGTGCATTTTTGTAAGTCTTGGGTTGTATGTGCATGTGTGAGCATGAGGGAGGGAGCGTGTGACTGTGTTTGTGTATGACTGTATATGTCAGGTGGGGCCTTTGGGTCCTCCCCTCTCCTGGAACTTCTCTTGATGATATAGATCTCTGTCCCCCCTCCCCCTGCCACACCTGGTGTGGGGGCTTGTGCCTTGGTCTGCCTGAGTGTTCGTGGCAACCGGGTCTGGGGGTTTAAAGATTTTGGCATCTGCCTGTTAGATCCCGGTGGCTGCCTGGTGGGGTCTGGGTCCCTGGGCTCTGCTGGGTCCCCGGCAGGGGTGGTCGCCCCTGGGTCCCGGGTCGCTGGGTCCCGGGCTCGGCCGGCTAGGGGGTGGGAGGCTGCGGGCGGGCCTGAGGGCTTGCCGCTGATATCTCCGGGGACTCTGCCGGCTGCTGGTTGTGGCCCCCCGGGGCAATCCTCTGTGCCTCTCGAGGGGGGCGGGGGCCTTCCTGGTTGCAGTCTCCTTGGGGTTCCTGCGTTCTGGGGCAGCGCCTGGATCTCTGGGACTTGGAGCTCCCCCCGTCTCCTGCGCATCTTTGGGGGACAGATCTGTGGTCCCTCACACTCTCTGTTGGACGCTCCTATAGAAAAACCTTAAATAAACAAGCGCGTGTACACACACAGGTGCTCACATGGTGCTCTCAAAAGTATGGGCTTAGGCACGTTAAACACAGGTCTTAAGACTATGGTGGGCACTTAATATGTTGTGATTTATTATCGTGATTCTTCAGTTAAGCAATGTTGATTATATATATATTTTTTTTTTCTTTTCATCAAGTTTACGCAGTGAGAGGTAGATCTTTTTGTATTGTTGTTGTGTCCCTTTTTTGTGTCCCTTTGTTTTTTTTGTCTTTTTTCTGCAGGTCTAGAAGCAGACTCTTGTTCATTATTGTTTATTTTTGTGGACCCCCACACCCCCACCCCCCCACCCCCTCTCTCCCCACCTTTCCTTTTCCTTTCTCTTTCACCTCTGTCTCCGTGTCTGGTCGGAATTACAAATCATTCAGCATCAATAACAATAAAGTTTTAAGTATCAGGCGTGACATTAAAAGCAAACGCTTTGATGCTCCACCTGAGAATAAATCTGTAAGGCTTGTCACCAGCATTCAGACATCAATTCTGCTTGCTTCACAGCCAGACAGGACACGGTAAAAAAAAAAAAAAAAAAAAAAAACGAAACTAATACGTATAAAATATAACGTCTCCTGTGTCACGTGACGTTATGTGACTGCCATGGAAGCCGCGGTCACATGATGCAAGTCTGTTCCATTTAACCATTTTCGTTGACCAAGGAAGGACAGTGACCTCGTAAGCAAGGTGCATGGCCTCGCAAAGGCAGGTGCCTTGACATTGAGAAACACCCTTTCTTCTGATGAAAGATGTTTGCATCACCACCAGACGCCATCTTTGACTACAGCTAAAAAACTACAGCGTTGCACGATACAGTCATCATATGGACAATGGGTTTCCACAGGTTCCAATAACAAGTTTTTCTGCTAAAATGGGAGGTGGCCACCACCGCCATTTTGACTGTGTCACAGGTTCCGTCAAGCCCAGACAATTCCATAAAAGGGAAGAGAGGAGGAGTTGAGGGTGGGGCTGTAAGGCTGGGATCCACTGACAACACCCGGTCGAACTAGCTACAAGCTAACCTGAAGCTAACCCAAATCTAATGCGGAGGTGGGAGCTAAGCTAACGGAGGTAGCAACCTAGCTACAACCGGAGTTAACTGTGCACAACACCAGAGCTTCTGAGTCAGAGATACACAGGGCTGACCGCTGGGTAAAACCGGGTGGAACACAGAGGTCTCGGAGACCTCCACAAGCCGGCAGCTGCACAGCAGACAAGCACCGCTGCGATCTGAGATGCGCAGAGCTGCCGCTGGGGAGAACCGGGGGAAAGGTTTCCATCCCAGAGGTCCACAAGCCATCAGCCCGCGCAGCACACAGAAGCCGCGATCAGACAGAGATGCGCCAAGCTGCGGGGAGAAGTGGCGTATTTTGGCGGTTCTGGCTTGCCATAAGAACCAGCCGTCAGCCCGCGCACAGCAAACAGAAGCCACGATCAGACAGAGATGGACCGGGCTGCGGGGAGGGGAGAAGAGCTCCACAAGCCGATAGTGGGAACCCAGCTCCACCAACATGTTATATTTCAACCCATTTTCTAAAGTGCAGCATTATGTTAAATGCACTGGGTTTTACCCTATTACATTTAAATTTCATGGTTAAACAGTACATGTTAAAATCTGAGCTCAGCTCGGCAGTGACCTACAATACATAAATATAATTTTACTTACCGAAAAATATGAAGTGGAGACTCCTTGGACGCTCTATTAGTGCAATTAATGCCACAGCAAGTCATTTTGTCCAACAATTGCACAAAAAACATCCAAAAAAGAATACACAAACACAGAGACTCAAAATCCCGGAGCAGTTTCCAGGCCAGACCGAGGCTCTACTGAGGCCTTTCCACGGAGCTAGCTCTGTGGTCACGTGGGTCTGATGCTCATTAATTATACAGAATTTTAGGCTTTTAATACACTTAAACAGAAGAGTGAGGAAAAAAATTCACCCCCCTCAGAGTGTCATGAGTGTAAACTAGATAATTTAAACAAAAAGCATGTTTTGGTACCAGGCTGTAAACATGTTTATTTCTGCTGAGAAATTGGTATTTTTAACATGGGAGTCAATGAGGATTTGCTCGCTTCTGACACCAGCCCCCAGCGGATGAGGGTGGAACTGCAATTTATTTCACTTCCGGGTTTGACTCAATTTCAGAGCTGCATTGTGGGGGCTTGGTTTTCTGATTGTTTCTTTTTGAGCTGGCTAGTCCCGCCTCTCTCTGCCTCTGAGTGTCTAGACTTGTCCTGTGTGTAGAATAGACAGAGGATGAGTCTGGCAGGCCAGGCGAGCTCGTCACCAAAAGCAAGCCAGGAACCTGAGACAAACCCACTCACCTGTAAAAAGTTAAAGAAAAGGTCCAGAGTCACAACAACTCGATCCTCTGAAAAAAACAATTTAATCAAAACAAAGTGTTGATTCCATAACAAGTATATAAAACAGTGATTTAGTTACATAAATAAATCGATCAGTGTATCAAATCTTAGTTTTGACTTCATGAGCATGGTCGTACAATCGTTTACTTAAAGTAATAAATTAGAAAAGGAGCATACTCATTTCTAAAGGAAGGCGCTACGAACGGACAACACCAAAAAGTCTGAGATGAGCTTTTTAAAGCACACAATGCAGAGCCGGTCCAGCTACTATTCAAAGACTCTACAAGACTGTAACACAAGATGGTTGGCGTATGAAAAGAGTTTGGTAGTTTACAACTCCCATTTGGTTATTTTAAAGCATTAAGACAAGGCAACAAAGAAGGCTTTTCTTGTGAGGAAAACAAAAAAGCTGAAGAAACGGAGTAAGGAAGCAGCTGCGACCCGCTGGACGAGAGCACCTCTCCGTCCTGCACAAAGCCCACATGTGAGAACGAGAAGTGTGGACGTTACACAGAGGACCACTTCCTGTCTTACAGCCAGCCACTTCCTGTAGCTCGATCTGATTCTTCCCTTCTGCTTTAATGTCCAACTGATATGTTTTGTCCCCAAAAGCAAAAACATGAAATTAAATTAAAATGCAGCTTCAAGTTTTGTGCCTTACATAGAATTTCTTTCATAAATTAGTTCACATATACATTTTTCAGTAATCAGACATATACTTCCATATATACAGGACAATAAAATGCTTTTTTACTTGTTTGTTGCCTGTTTTTTTAGAGAAATCCCTGAGAGTGTGTTGACAGTTTCCATTGGAGCTCTGACAGGTTGTTGTCAGGTTTTTGGGGTGACGGGTTTGTAAAATGAGCGTCCTGAACGTGGGAGGCAGCACTCTAAAGCTAAAGTAGAATGACTTTATCTCCAGTAGATGGACCAGGAGGGGAAAAGGAGTAAAGCTGGATCCTTTAAAGACGTACTCATCACTTCAGATGGAGTGGCTCCATTTGGTTTAAAGCCTTTTTGTTTTCTCTTTGAGGCTGTAAGCCTTAGCTGAGGGAAGGAGGAATGCAAAAGTCGGCTGGATGCTTCCGGATACACTCAGTGGGATCGGATGCATAAACTCTGCTGTGCGTACTAAGGCTTCACCATTCCACGTAACACTGTTTGACTCAAACCTGCTTGAAATGTTCCCATCTTTGTTGCCAACTATTACAACTAAAGTGACAAATCTAGCCATTTAAATGTCTGAAAACAGAATGACATAATTTTAAATGGATTTGGACTAAATTGTCTGCTAAATAAACGTATAAATTCTTCTGGTATGTTTGTTTTCTTCTTTCATTTTTCCTGCTTCACTGAACCACTCAGATGAAACAAACTATTTTTGAAAATCTAATTATTAAAAATTTTAGATCTAGCTACACTGTAAAAAAAAAAAACTTCCAGACATTAGACTTTTAAACTCTTGCAGATGTGCCGAAATTCCTGTTAAATGTTGTCTTAAAGCTTTTTGTATCTAATATGCACCAGAACTGATTTCAAAGTCATTTTAAAGTGTGATTTTTAAAATAATAATTAAATTAAAACAACACGTTTTAGGGTCCTGTCAGTCATTGGCCGTCTGAATCATCCGAACCTCACCTCTCACCCCAGCGGTGCTCCTGACTGTGTCCCACCTTGTGGGAAATTACGCAGATATCCAGTTAGAATGGGCTTAAAATGTAGCAAAGGACTTTATTTTGAGAGAAAATGTAAAATTCCAGCTGTTTGAGAGCGATTTCCTAACGTTACAGGACATTCTAGAAACTTCCTTGTTAACAGTCTAGTGAAAAACTGGTTTAAGCCAAGCTGACTCAGTAACTATTATTAATTTTACATGAAACACTCACTTCCTGGGGAATTTCTACCTTTATTTGAAAGACTTTGTTTGAGCTTTAAAGCAATCCCTACACATGACCTCACATGAACCCACACATCATCATATCAACGATTTGGTGAATCGCTAGTTAATATCTGTCTGATAACAAAATGCCTATAAAAGGTTAAAGTGCCGAGGCGTCTTGTGTCATAACTTTAACTTCCTTCTCACTTTTGGTCAAGTTTGCCTCAGAGTTCAGCTCCGCTGAATAAAGGGCATTATATAATGACACTAGGGGCGGGGAAACCTGCTGAACGCCTTTTGTTTTATTTAAGATAAAAATTACACTGGGCACCAGCGTATTAAAGCTACCCCATAACAAGCTAGCTAAAACGTTAATGCCTCTTAACAACGTTCTAATCTAGATTAGCTATAAAAAGATTGTGGAGATAAAGAAATAAAAAATATAAAGCGGTTCTCTCAAATTTGTCTAAAAACGTCAGCCAATAACACGGCTCGATCCAAATCCAACTATTGGACCATCCAGTGAGTGACCTCACGCAACCTCAGCACTTCCGCATTTCCCTGGGTCCTCCACTCATCACACACTCACGTCTTCAGCGGCAGAACACCACTGGTGTGAGAGGTTCTCCACTCAGTATCAGAGAAGGAGAAACAGCCGGCTGCTACCACTTCAACTTTTAGACAAACTATCAGTCCCAACATAAAAGAAAATCACCATTTGAAGTCACGGACAACTAAAGATGTTTGGGCCTAGAAAAACAGCGAATTGTGTGTAGCGCCACCTCGTTTACTCGGACAAAGCGCGTTCTGGTATTACCCCTACTGCACACTGGAAGCATCAGCGGTTCAGAACGGCAGAGGAATGGTTTCCTTGTGAGCTTCAAGGCGGTCCAGTACACACCGGGAATCTTGGCCGTGGAACGGCTTCCTCACCGTGCTCCTCGCTGGACTCACGAGATCCCTCGGAAAGTTGACAGTTTCATGATTAATGTCGCTGTTTGAGGTCATGGATGATGTTGTTCCTCTCCACTTCCAGGATTAAAGCTATGAAAAACACACCGCTGCACTTCTCAAACGATTCAAGACGTAAATAGGCCATTAGGTCACAAGTATAGACATAATCTACATAGATATGAAATTGCATCATTGCAATAGTCTTTTATTTTGAAAGTTACTGGGGATGTCACACTGAAACAGTGTGTGATTTCCTGTCTAGCCCTATGCAGAAATTTGCATGTCCCAGAAACAGCTCTTAGAAAAAATAGAACCTGATCCTACTGTTAGTGGAGCGTCGCATCTGGGACGCACCTGAAAATTGCTGCGTCACGACTGGTTTGAAACCATTCCATAGATTCTACGGATTCTATTTGAAGCAGCGACGTGCGGCGCCGCTGATGCTTCTAGTGTGCAGTAGGCTTTAGACGGAAGTGGACTAGGGGCGATAGAGGACAGGTGAGGGCTCTGTGACAGTGTTGGTGTTTAAAGGCTAACTTGTTTAGCAGCTTTGCCATTGCAGCTTTGGCTATTTTATCTAGTAAAGGGTGAATTTTTCCCTCCATCTTTGCACCCACCAAGTCAAACAGGAGCAGACGCGGGTGGAGTCAGAACTTCCTAAATCCACACACAGGTTTATGCATCCGGCCCCTTGAAGTTGGGTTTTGGTTGTTTGGATTCAAACCATCGGCATATGGTTGGGAAGCCATAACATACCTCATTTACAGGTGCTGCTATGCTTTACTTTTGGAAACTACGGTGACTTTTAGGATCAAATAACAAATTACATGTGAGAGGAAAAAATAGTAATATTTGTAAAGCAACAGGAGTAGCCTCTGGAAAAAAGACCTGAGGGGTATTCTTCTTCCATCCAATTGTTGGTAGCGAGGAGGGTGGTACTACAGCCAGCCACTGGGGGGTTTGTTTCATCTCAGCTTCAACCTCCATTTCACCATCGGGGGCTTTTTATAACATATGCCGATGGTTACAACGTGTCGCGTTTAGGGGAAATTCATTTAAAACATGTTTCATGTCTTGTCCCTACTGCTTTGGACCCCTCATTGAACATCTTCACAATCTTGGTCATCTACCTTCAGGAAAATGTTCTTCATGTCAGATCCATTGGTTCCAGATCACAAGGATAGGGTTACTGTGAATGTCGTACGTGGATTTCTGGATTTCTGTTTCAAGTTAGAGAGGATAAAAATGGATACTTAAGTAATACGTTCATTCTATTTTTCTGATCCTGTTTCAACCAAATCTCTCTCGAACAAGCATCATGAGCTTCTTTTTGCCCTTGTATATCTGCTTCAGGTTGTCTATGAACTGCGTGAACTGAATGTGTCCGTCGGGCGCCATCAGAAACGTCTCTCTGGCTTTGCTGAGGAACTCGATGAACTCGCTGTAGTGGCGCGGGCTGATGTGCGTTAGCCGAGAGTGTGTCGTGTTGATGTAGGCCCCGATTGTGGCATCCAGTAGCTGCCTGAGTGGAGCTTTGTCCAGAGACATCAGCTTCCCAGAGTTCCTACGACTGTGCAGAGCCACCATGCCCGGTGTCGTCAGAGTGCACCGACGCAAAATGTCGGACAGGACAGTGGCGCACTTCACACTCTTTACCACCAAGGGGATGACTGCCGCTAGCTCGTTCTTCCCCAGCGAGTGGCTGAGAGCGCATGCCCAGAGCACGTCGTTGATGGCCGGGTGTGTGTCCTGGTTGTAGCTGAGGTTCAGGTGTGTCATGGCTAATGTGGCCAGTTTGTATGCCCTCATGGGATAGCCACGATGCTCCATGTAGCGTGCAATTGTAAACAGCTGTGTGTAGTTCATTCCTGTGGTGGCTGCGTCCAGTACAATCTGATAGGCTGTCTCAAAGGCAATGTGGTCCTTTTCACAAAGCGTCAAAGCTGACAGGGCACAGTTCTGAGGGTCCTTCATGGCACACTGCAGGGCCAGGGTGCGGGCGGAGTTGGCCAGGTTCTCCTGCTGATGGCAGTCCAGATGAAGGCGAACGATGGTGCTATTGGACATGACGGTGCTCGCCACGACGCTGGTCGCCTCAGTGGGGGTGAAGAGTGTGAACCAGCTCTGCATGATGCTGTCCAACGCGAACACACCTAAAAACAGGAAATGAAACGTTAGTTTAAGGCTCCTTTACCTTCTGCCTGGTTTTGCTGGGTCTGAGCGTAGATTAGACGAATGAAGATGACGTTGTGTGGTTTGTCATGCACAGTCTAGAAATCTAGACGGGCCGTAGCAGTAGCAAGAAGATTCTGCGATCGGATCGGATAAAACACAACGAGTCTAGGTTAGCCTGAGGTGTTCCCCAAAGCTTAATCCTAGGTCCTCTTTCATTTTTGTGTTTGCGACTTCTTTGCATTACAAACTGAACATAAAACTACAAATATTAAGATATTTAGGATTTTTGTACCTTATACACCATTTGTTTTGACACCAGCTTTTTGCTTCTTTATTAAAAAGCAAGAAGAGTTTAGATCTGGGTTTGATGGTGGGATTTTTACTACCCAAAAATCCACCTTTTTGTTCTGACCACAGCTTAAATAAATATAACTGATATTTTATGCAGTTGTCTTAAAATAAACAGAGTAATTCATATAAAGTTTTGGCGTGTCATCCGTGTTAAATAAACAAATAGTATTTGATACATTTATTTTAAAAGGTTTGTTTTAAACTATATTGAGAGTTCAGGTCTGATGATTGTAGCAAAAAGACCTTAAAAAAACAAGAATGGATAAGAAAAGATTTTAAAATGCGTTTGTTGCCGATCAAAGTCAGCAATTTTTGTCCAAGAAGCCAGAGATATAATAAAAAGCGTTCCTCCACTCAGTTGTTGCCATTTTATTAAATACACCATGTGGCTCCTCTCTGAATCTCCAGCGGAAAATCTTTCATTAATTCTCTCCAACTTTGCTCACAAATCTGGGACGTCTGACCATTTCTCTACATTCACATGAAATCCTCTGGGAGGAGAGCTTCCCTCTGGACAGAACTTCCTGTCGCTGGCCTTCAGGACCCAAGTCCAAACATTAAGACCTGCTTGAGTATCCTATAATTACCGCCCTGCCGGTTCCTCTTCGCACCACACTGAGAGGCCTACAAACCGAAATCCGACCCGCTGTTTCTTCACAGCCACTCACGTCCCAAAGCATGAGCAGACACGAACGTCCTAAATTATTTGTAACTTCCTGTTAGCTTTTCATTTTTACCCAGCAGTCGGAGGGTTCTGTTAATCTATTTGATGTTTCCTTAACAGAAAGGCAAAGTCAGAGGCTGAAACTAAACAAATCCCATTCGAACATTTGGCCACAGCCACAGCATGGCGACTGTTCTTATGAAAACTTCTCTGGGAAGGAAAATTTGACCTGAAATTTACTTTCGTCTTTCAAAGCATAATGGCACAAAAGCATCTGTTAAATTCATTCTTTAACAAACATCTAATGTCATCCCTCCCACAAACCTCTGATGAAAATTTGGGATGTTTTTGTGTTCTCATGACCAAAGCGTATTGTCCGTTTCTAAGATTGTTGAGAAGAAGACAGAAACAAATAGTTGCTAAGTTCACTAATCAACCTGGCCCTTTTACCTCTGGGCCTTGTTAAAGCCACAGTGTGTAATATTTTACTTGTTTACTATCAAATTCTGTGCATCAAGAAGCGTCATATTTCATCATTAGCTCTCACCAAAGTCTATTCTAAATATTACTATTAGCTTGAAAATTCAAATTTTTGAATACTGTGGTTGACGCTCCACAGTCATGCGCCATCTTGAAATACTGTAGCTGTTTTGGGATATACAAGATATAACGCATTTGAGCTTTGACATGAATGTTCTCCTCCCTTTAACGTTGTGCAGAAGTGACACTGGTTCCCTCCGTGTCGGCCTTGCTCGTTTGGGGAAACTCTGCTCCTTCCCTTTGGGTTTCTTGCCTTGCTCTAACTACATGTGATCGTTGGACTGAATGCTGGAAGTCATTTATAACTGTAGCGGTGCACGCACGGCTGCGGTGGTCAGGGAAACGAGTGATGCGAGAGGCATACACGTAGCGGGCACGTTGCACACTTGAACAAGGATACAGCAGCTGCTGCAAATGACTGATCAGGACACGAACAGCAGGTCTCTAATCCCTGAGAGATGCTAACTGCAGGAAGCAGCAGAAACAGTAAATAAAACACGCAGAAGGCTGAAAGCTGGTGTGTGGTCTTTTCACTTTGCCTTTTCGATGCATGTGGGCTACTGTAGCTGCAACACCCATTCTGAACTGTGTGGCGCTAAGGAGTCCAATGTTTTTACACACTTTAAATAAGTGTGACGCTTTAAGTGTAATCTCAAGGTTCAGTGTAACTGAACCCAAGCATCAGTTATGATATAACTGATCTGGAAACAGCTTTAGAGCGAGGATCCTAAAACGTTCTGATGCTCCTGTTTGATATCGGGGTAAAACGGAGTCTGAGGGTATTGTGTGTTAGTAACGTTAAGGGTGTATTCCTTCTGATTTAAAAAACATACCGTATTTTCCGGACTACAAGTCGCAAAGTGACTTATATACCAATTTATGTATACCGCACTACTGCGGGCCGGCTCCGGTCCAGGTTTCAGCTCCTCTGCGCCGCTGGGAGGGTTTCAAACACCACCACCACCTGCTGCAGCCTGTGGCAGGGTGCTGTAGGCCGGCTCCGGCCCAGGAATGAGCTCTCTCCGCCCGCTGGGAGGGTTTGAAACACTGCTATCCTCTGCTGGAGACCGTGGCGCGCTGCTGACCCTAGATTTTTTATTCTGTTATTGTTACCGGTACTTGTCTTGCAATGTGAAATGCTTGGTCTCAGATTTTGTAAGAAAAATAATAAAATTTTCCCCCAAAATGCGACTTATAGTCCAGTGCGACTTATATATGTTTTTTCCTCTCATTATGCATTTTATGGCTGGTGCGACTTATACTCCGGAAAATATGGTACTCACCAACTTCTGTAGCACAAGTGACGAGCCAGCGCACCATCTCCCTCCTCCTCCAGTTTAGAGTAGACAGAGTCATCCTCATCACCTGTGGCCAACACAAGATTAGAGGGTCTGTAGGTTGTGTGTGTGTGTGTGTAGGCGTGTGTGTGTGTGTGTGTGTGTGTGTGTTGTTCACCTGCAGGCCCAGCTCCAGGGAGACTTTGAGCAGTGTGAGGTCCGGCAGGCTGTCCATGAGAGTGGCGATTTTGAAGGCATCCTGAGCCAGTTTGAAGATGTGAGAGGACGAGTGGATGTTCTTCTGGATGGATTCTAACACGGTTTGAAGCTTACAGGCGTCACCTAAAAGCAGCCAACAAGCAGGAACAGAGAAGAACTGGCATGAAGCAATTTTCGTCAGTGTAACGGAATGAAATGAATGTTTTGGTGGAACGATTTTATGAACATAACAGCGGCTGCGCAGGACGCAGCTGGAGTATTTGAGCCATTACCGCTGCGTCCTCTCTGCTCATAGAATGCCCGCAAAGCGGAGTCCATAAATGACGTCATATATGTGGATACCGGATCTTTATTTTGGGCTTTCTGCAATTTTAATTTTTAAGAAACCCACATCTTGATTCTGGATTTAAAAATGCGTTGTAATTACCGCGTTACTGACAACTGTACCGAGTAAATATTACCATTTTCTTTCCCTGTAATGCCTTACATTACCACATTACAGCAAAAAGCATTGCATTACAGTAATTAATTACTTTTGTACCGTGTTACTCCCAACACTGTTTACTATGGAATTTTATGTCTTATGGTTCGTTAAATAGATAATAATAATAATAATAATAATAATAATAATGCATTGAACTTATATAGCGCTTTTCAAGACCACCAAAGACGCTTTCACACACTCTCACATTCACACACTGCTAGTGATGGTAAGCTACTTGTAGCCACAGCCGCCCTGGGGAGGTCTGAAAGAGGCGAGGCTGCCATTTGGTGCCGTCGGCCCCTCTGACCACCACTAACACAGGCAAGTTGGGTGAAGTGTCTTGCCCAAGGACACAGCAGCAGGATACCCCTGGCGGGAGCTGGAATCGAACCCATGACCCTCCGATCAGGAGGCAACCCGCTCTACCACCTGTGCTACTGCTGTAAATTAAACTCTTACATCAGAATATAAATCGTGTTTCTACTACTTTAAATCAGTTAAAGTGCCAGCTGATGTCAGTTCAAACTGCTCCTTCCACTGATCCAGCTCTACCTGACGAAGGCCATGTCCTTGGTCTGTCTGATGAACTCTGTGAACTCGTAGAGACGTGTTCTCTTGAAGGCATGCATTGAAAGTTATGCTGCGGGGAGGTAAATTAGCTCTGACTTGTACTTTCATTTGTATTTTACTGTTCTTAACATCAATGGACACTACAATTTTACAGCGGATTCCCTTTTTACCTCTTGCTGCTCAGCATCTCAGCTCTCTTTCGCTCATTACGTCAATCAATCTGCTGTGGTCTCTAGAACGAGCCTTATGAGTCAATCTCTGTGGAACAAAAGCTCTGGTGCTCAAGTTTCAGGAAATAGAACTTAGCCGGAGGAGCGAGGGCAGAAAATGGATTTGGAGTCTTACTCATTATTATTCATGATATTCAAACATCTCTCCTCTGATTGGCTAACAGCAACACGACTCTACCACTGACTCTGTTTGCTTTGTAATGTTGATGTTTTATCTCCACAAATAACACAAGCCTGGAGGAGTTCTGCCATGTGGTAGAGTTGCTGATGCTAACAGTTAGCTTCTAATAGCCAAGACGTAGAGATAGGGTGAGGTCATCGGGGAGGGGCTCAGAGTAGATCCGCTGCTCCTTCACATCGAGAGGAGCCAGTTGAGGCGGCTCGGGAATTTGGTGAGGATGCCTCCTGGTGATGTCTTCCAGGCACGTCCAACTGGGAGAATACCTAAAGGGAGACCCAGAACACGCTGGAGGGTCTATGTCTCTCAGCTGGCCAGGGAACGCCTTGGGATTCCCCCGGGAAAAGCGGGCCCAAGTAGCTGGGGAGAGGGAAGTCTGCTTAGCTTAGGCTGCTGCCCCCACGACCCGACCCCGGATAAGTGGTGGAAAATGGATGGATGGCTAAGATGTGCTCTGTTCTCTTCTGGATGCCGAACAGACAACAGCCTTCCTCGTCACGAGCCAAAACGGATGAGTCCATGAATGCTAATTTGCGTGTGGCTTTCTCCGACCCAGAGCTTTCTCTGTCTATTTTTTATTGGTGGCTAACGAAGGACATATGTGTAGAAGACTATTTCCCCATTCAGCTTGCATGTGAAACTTAAAACAACCAATCCTTTTTCACAAATAAGAAGAAAAAAGATTTCCCAGGGAGCTTGCTCTTTAATATTCTAAGAGTGAAAAATCAAAGTACGCCAGTCCTGAAAACAAATGCCGTTATCTTTTTGATTCAAGCTGGATCTTGCTTTCATCTGACTACCATCAGATGTTGATCAAATCTGCTTTTGTCCCTTCATTTTTAACAAATAAGAAAAGCCTCCAAAAATGTCTGTGATTTTTTTTAAGTATATTTACAGGAAATAAACTGATGAGCTGCTAGCGTGTGTGTACCTTTAGCAGCAGTGAGCATGGTGGAAGCCAGCTCACACTGTTGGCTCTCTATGTGGTTGAGAGTGAACCAGCGAGGGTAGCGGTTGGCCACCACCGACACGATGTGCGGAGGCCGAGACAAATCAGCAGAGGGGGCCGTGGAGTCGAGGACAGGTAACCTGAGGACAGAGGAAAACCCCATTAGCTCCTCGTCACACTCAGACACACTATGGCTGTGTCTCAATTCAGGGTCTGCATCCTTCGGAGGACCCAGCCCACCCGGCCGACGTGGGCTGGGTCCTCCGTCGGCCGGGTAGACCGGATGTTAACGGCTGTGAATTGGGACAGGCCTAGCCTTCATGAACTCCCTCGGCGAACGTTCCGTCGCCTAGCAACCGTGGAACCGCTGGGCAGAAGGGAGAAGGAACTTTAAACAATGGAGTTCGACGTTTTATTTAGCTTTTTAACCCCCAGAAACCCAAATTTAGAAAACTGCAAAATCTTTTTTTAACCTTTCACATGTTGCTCTAGGAGGCCAGATAAACGGGCCTATTTACACATTTTAACAGCCAATAGTGTTGCAGAACAATAGGACCTATTAGCAATGTAAATGTGGTTTTAAAAAGAAAAAAAATGGGGAAGGTTTATTTTTGTGGACTTAAATCTGATGTTGTAATATTACAACCGTGGGTCTCTGGGGGTTAATCATTTCCTTGACTGTTGGAGAGCTAATTCAGAGAAAATACTTTAGACAAGCTGAGCCTGAGCAAAGATGTGATAATAGTTTTTAATACTTTCTAAGGGTCTTAATTTGACCAAAACTGATTTATCACCTTTTAAGACTTTTCAAGACCCAGCGGGATACCCTCTAGTAAACAATTCTCATTTGTAAACAAAAATAAAATTCAAGAGTTTAATGCAGAACTGATTTTATTTAGATATTTCTTTTATATGTACATGTTTAATCTTCCTTAACCATTTTTTTCTAGCAAAGTAAAAAGCTGTCAAAGTTCGTCCTTCTCTCCTGGGCCCTCTGCTGCCTCATGTCCTCCCTGATCAGATCCAGAAGCTGGTCATCGCTGGCACCTTCCCCTGGATGCCCATTTTCTCCAGAATAGTCTTAACAAACATGTAAGAGCAGCAACAGGAAGAGAAAAGAGGACAACGGGTTATTCCTTTCATGTTTTCGCAGAAAAAATAAACTCAAACGAGTTTTTAAAATATGAGATGTTATTGTACCTCCATGCCACAGCCGCCGAATACTTTGCTCCGGTGATCATGTGGTCCATCTCCGCCCTAAGCTTAATAAATTCCCTGGTTTTCTCTTTTGTTCCTAAAATACAAACTTCTATTAAAATCAGGGGGAAACGTAGCGGGAGAAGTACGACACCGAGCGGCCGAACATACGAGCCGAGACCGCAATACAAGCACTTTTACTGTTACATTTCTAACTAAAATGACGTTCATGTATCACAAAAAGTCCTTAACCTAACAGTTTTCAAGTTTCTACTTACATTTATATGCGCAATCCTCTCCGACAGCTCCCGCTTCACTGTCCGCCATTGTTTTTAAGTTTTTCTGCCGGCCGGCCCACAAGGCATCTTGGGAAATGCTACCTGTTGAAGGATACACCCGACCCATCCTTCATTCAGGCGAAAAGAAGGCCGCATTCGTCGACCGCATTTGAAGGAGTCTTCAAATTGGGACAGGCCTAGTCGCGGCGCTGTGACGTAACCGGCCGACGAATCCGGCCGACGTAGGATGCAGACCCTGAATTGAGACACAGCCTATTTCTCTGCTCTGATGAACGTGTTACAGCTAAAGAGATTATCAGAGTGTAATGTTCTCCTGGTAGGACCGATCTGTGGCTCTCCCTGGTGCGTCTGCACACCTGAGCCCAGGTGGATCTTGGCCTCGAGCTGCAGGACTCACCAACAAATGGATTTAAGAGAAGAAAAGTATTTCTCTTTCCACCCAAACAATCGAGCTGCTATATCCCGCTACAGCTGCTGCGCATTAATGATTCTGCTTTAAGAATTCCAGAAAGAAAACAAACATCAGATCGGAATAGAA